TGAAAAATTAAGAGTTCAACTCAATGAATTGTTTAATTAAAAAAACCTTGCACACTTACCAACAAGATCATGATATCAGTTATTATCAAAATATCACTTAGAAGCATCTGCTATGCCTTCCCAGTGAGTAGCCCAAAAGAGCAGCAACTATAGTGACACATTACTGTAAACTAATTTGACTATTCATGAATTTTATGTTAATAAAATAATATGATTTATACACTCTGATGTTTGCATTCTTCTTACTTAACATCATGACTGTGAAATTCCATAACGTTGTACTGAATATCGGTAGTTTTTTTTTTTTTCATTTCTATACAGTATCCAATTGAATAAACACAACCAAAAATTATTTTTTTTAGGGATATATAAATCATTTTCACTTTGGGGCAATTGGAAATAGTGTGGTTGTGAACATTCTTGTCCCTGTCTTTGGTGCAAATATATATGCATTTCCGTTGGTTAATACCAAGGACTGGAATTATGGGTTCATACTTCCAAAGAGTTTTCAAAAAACCTTTGTTCAACTTTGCAATCATACTCAGCATTTATGAAAGTTTTATTTAATCCATATTCTTGCTATTTGTTTTAATTTATTTTTAATGTGTGTTTATGAGATTGTTTGCAAACGTTTATTGGTGTTTTTGTACTTTACTGTAAGTAGGAGCTCTTTCTATACAGTTATTACATATATCTCTTACAGATGTTCCGAAGATTTTTTCTATTCTATCCAAGGTTGATTTCCTCAGTAGCAGACCTTGAAACAAGATTTGGATGCAAGTAGTTTGTTTGGAAGATGATCTTAGGAAGCACCAGTAACTAAGTAAGGAAGAGAGACAACCCAAAAATGAACAGGTTATTTGTGTGGATAATTGGGTGTCAGTCCCACTAAGGGCCCCTAGAAGACTGTGTAAAACCTAATTTAGACTTGTTCCCCCCTCAAGGAATGAAGAAGATGGGATCTTTATGTTCTCACTACCATATACTACCACTGGTTGAAAGCTATTCCTGTAGATGTTCACTGTTTGGCACTTTCACACTGGCCTATGTATGGATTGAGGGCACTCCCAGAAACAGGAGAAAAAGAGCCTTCAGAGGAGTCACAGGTATTTTCAGCAGGAAAGCATCTGAAGAAAGAAAAAAGAATTAAAAAGCAAAGACAGAAGAATTTAATAAATAGCAAATATAAAATAGAAGCAATCAACAAATCCAAAATTGGAGAAACCTGATAATATTAAACTCTCATACATCTAAACAAGCAAAAGAGAGAGACAGGGAGAGAAGGCACTAATAACTAATGTCAGTAATGAAAACTGAGCATAACTATAGACCATTTCAACTTTATAAAAAACTTTTATGAAAAAAGTTGTGCCACCAACTTTGAAAACTTGGCAATGATGAGTGGGTGAGCTCCAAGAAAAAGAAAACAATATATGGTTTAAGAAAGTGGTCCAGGTTCATTCCTCCGCATGTCGCTGTCCAGTTTTCCCAGTACCACTTGCTGAAGAGACTGTCTTTTTTCCATTGGATATTCTTTCCCGCTTTGTCAAAGATTAGTTGGCCATACATTTGTGGGTCCAGTTCTGGGTCTTCTATTCTGTTCCATTGATCTATGTGTCTGATTTTGTGCCAGTACCATACTGTCTTGATGATTACAGCTTTGCAATACATCCTAAAGTCTGAAATGGAGAGGCCTCCAGCTTTGGTTTTCTTTCTCAACATTACTTTGCTATTTGGGATATTTTCTGGTTTCATACAAATTTTAGGATTATTTGTTCTAGCTCTGTGAAGAATGCTGGTGTTATTTAGATAGGGATTACATTCAATGTGCAGATTATTTTGGGTAGTAGTATCAACATCTTAACAATATTTGTTCCTCCTATCCATGAGCGTGGAATGTCTTTCCATTTCTTTGTGTCTTCTTCAATTTCTTTGATAAACTTTCTAGAGTTTTCAGGGTACAGATATTCTACCTATTTGGTTAGGTTTATTCCTAGGTATCTTATGGGCACCTGTTGGGATGAGCACTGGATGTTATATATAAGTGATGAATCACTACATTCTTCTCCTGAAGTCAATTCTACACTGTATGTTAACCAGCTTGAATTTAAATTAAAAACTTAGAAAAAGGAAAAAGAAAACAATGAAACTGACTCAAGAAGCAATTGAGATTATAATTTTCTTACCACTATTTTAAAAAGTGCATTAGTAATTAAAAACTTTACTATGCAGTTAAAAATTCTCTTATTTTTCAGTGAATTCTATTAAGGAGCATTTTTCACTGAACTGAATAAGGAGAAATTCTTACCATTTCATCTAGAGAGGCCAATACAACTTTGATGTACAAAACTGACAAGGACAATGCAATAAAAGAAAATTGCAGAGCAATTATGAACACAGAATTTTAAATTACAGATAAAATATTGACACAAACTGATCCGCTAATAGAAAAAAAATTCTATTCTATAACTTTTAAATTCATGTTCTCGGGAAAAGATCACTTGAGTTGATATTAGAAAATTCAAAAAATGTAAGTTACCATATGAAAATATTAAAGGAACTCAGATGAAGAAAAAATAGCTTAATGAAATTCCACATCCACTCACAAAAACCCAAAATACACACAAAAACACAGACAAATGAAGCAGATAACTTTGTTAATCTGGAAGCAGGAGGAATATACAAAAAACCTACAGAAAGCGAGATTTTAGGGAAGCCTGGGTGTCTCAGTTGCTTGAGTGTTTGCCTCTTGATTTCAGCTCAGGTCACGATCCCAGGATCTAGTCCTGCATTGGGCTCTGTGGTGAGTGTAGAGCCTGCTTAAGATTCTCTCCTTCTCTCCCTCTCCCTCTCTCCCCTGAGACTCTCTCTTAAATAAATAAATAATAAATAAATAAATAAATAAATAAATATCATTTAACCTGTAAGAAAAAAAACTAAATTTTCAGGAATGGCTTTACTGGATACCATATCTTATTAGTTATGGATGGTTTTAACTATAAAACAGAGAAGCATGTAGAAAATTTATATACTGTACATATAGGGACATTTACTTTATGAAAAACCTGGCACTACAGATCAGTGCTAATGGAGTGGTTTTCAATAAATATTTCTGAGAAAATATGCATCCACAAGTTAAAATACAAAATCAGCTGATTCTCATATCACACCAAAATTTAATTCCAGTTTTATCTTAGAAATACATTGAAAAGTCAGTGTAAAAGGAAAATTAAAGTCTACAATCCAAGAGTAAATAGAATATAATATAAAAGACATAATAATGTACTAAATTTAGGACAACTTAACCCATAAAATACGGGAATATCTTCATTATTTTAGAGGAAATAAATATATCTTGAATAGGACCTTGGAAGCACAGTTTGATAAACCCTGTTTCATTAAACATAAGGAAATCTGTGTCCCTCAATACATCGTCGAGAGAGTAGATGGAGAGCCACAGTTTAGGAAAAATTAGTCATGGCAATTTTACCAAAAAAAAAAAAACAGGACTTTTATTTAAAATGAATAATGAACTACATATTTATAATAAAATACAACCTAGTAGGAAAATGGACAAAAAAACAAAATAAGCATCTCACAAAGAAAAAAGAACCAAAGGGCTACTAATAACCCTATTAAAAGAAATTCAACCACATTGAAACTATGAGGAATTTAAATTATAACCAAAATGACATACCAATACTCACCTATGAACGTTGAAGATATTAACATGTCTAGTGTGACCATATTAAATGTTGGCAAGAATGCGCAATAATTAGAATCACACGCGATATAGGAGGAATGTAAATTAGTACACTGACTTTGGAAAATTGTTTGATTGTATCTAGTAAAAGAGAAGAAACCAGCTCTCTGTGATCCAGAACTTTCACACATAGGCACATCCCACAGAGTAAGTGCTTGCTTATGTGCAAATGCCTGTGCAAGAACATTCATGGCAGTGTTTCCATAAAAGCCAAGAAGAGGAAATAACTAAAGTCCATTAATAGTATAGATACACCAATGATGGCATATTTATTTTATGGGACATTCTTCAACAAGAAAAAATGAAGTACGGTTACAGCTAATAAATTGAAACATTCACTTAAAACAAATGTTGAGCCAAAGCAGCCAGACATAATGGAATATATACTCTAAGATTTCATCTACGTGAATTTCAAAAGGAGGGAAAGCTAGCACTTATACTCTCAGACTTATTCTTAGGAGTTGTAGCTAAACTAAAAAGAAGCAGTTTTGAACACCACAAATTCCACAAAGGAGTTTGCTCCTAGAGGTGCTGGAGAGGCAGTGATGAGAAAGTGCTTATGGAAATTTTGAAAAATGCTGATAATGCTCTGCCTTTACTTTCCTACAGAAAGTAACACATGGGATAATTATTCAGAATTACTTCTCTATGTGTTTGTCATATTTCATGATCCAAGAGGAAGGATGAGAAGGGAAGAATAAGGTGAGAAGGAACAAAGGGAGCAGGGAAGGGCAACATCTTTGCAGGTTCTGAGAGTTAGGATGAAAACCTCTTTGGAGGACCATTATTTAGCACACTACCCTCTGGGATTGGAACTTGAGAAGAATTTTCATTCTTTCTTTTCTTTTAACCTGTAAGCAATTTTTTAAAGCACAGTGAGATTTAATGTCACAGATGTATATGAATGAACTAATTATCTGAATACATTTTCTCCAGTTATTTGAAGAAAAATTAGTAACCCTTAGTGCAACATATAAAAAGTATTTAAAAGTAATTGTGTATGTGTATGTGTATAAAAATCAAAATCAAGGGCACTTGGGTGGCTCACTCGGTTGAGTGTCCAACTCTTGGTTTTGGCTTAGGTCATGATCCCAGGGTTGTGGGATCAAGTCCCACTTCAGACTCCATGCTAAGCATGGAACTTGCTTAAGATTCTCTCTCTGTCTCCCTCTGCCCCTTTCCACAACTCTCTTTGTCTCTAAAAGAAAAAAAAGAAAAGAAAAAAAAAGAATCCAAATTACATTGAGTGAGAAAGCAATTTGGTGTGAATTAACTTTCTGGCTGTGTCTTTCACATCTTTGTTCCTAAGACTGTAAATAAGAGGGTTCAACATGGGGATCATGACAGTAAAAAACACAGTGGCCACTTTGACCAGGAGCCACGAGCTTTTGGAGTTGGGCACACAGTAGAGAAGAAGGATGATCCCATGGAAGATGGTGATGGTGGTCAGGTGGGAGGCACAGGTGGAGAAGGCTTTCTGGAGTCCTCCAGTAGATGGCATCTTGACTATGGTGGCAACTATAAAAATATAGGAGGCGAGGATAATCAGGAGGCTACAAGCCTCATTGAATGTGGAAATGACTAAACACATCCTCTGACTAAAGGAGGGGTCAGAGCAGGATAAAGAAAGGATGGCAGGGGGCGCCTGGGTGGCGCAGTCGGTTGGGCGTCCGACTTCAGCCAGGATTCACGATCTCGCGGTCCGTGAGTTCGAGCCCCGCGTCAGGCTCTGGGCTGATGGCTCGGAGCCTGGAGCCTGGAGCCTGTTTCCGATTCTGTGTCTCCCTCTCTCTCTGCCCCTCCCCCGTTCATGCTCTGTCTCTCTCTGTCCCAAAAATGAATAAACGTGGAGAAAAAAATTTAAAAAGCTAAAAAAAAAAAAAAAAAAGAAAGGATGGCAGAATACTCACAGCCAAAGTGATGTATAATGTTGGGACCACAGAAGGATAGTTCCAAAAGAGAGTATGTGAGTGTCAGGGAACATATTCCACCCCATACATAGGTTCCAGCTACCAAGAGGGCACAGAGTTTCCGAGACATAGCCACTGTGTAGAGCAGGGGGTTGCAAACAGCCACAAACCGGTCATAGGCCATAACTGCTAACATGAACATTTCTGTAATCACAAACGCACAAACAAAAAAAAATTGCACCATGCATGCTTTGAAGGAGATACTTCTGTCTTCCATGACCAAGATCTCTAGCAGTTTTGGTGTAAATACACTGGAATAACAAATATCTAAAAAGGATAGATGACTGAGGAAAAAGTACATGGGTGTGTGGAGTTTGGGGTTGATCCTTACAACCGCAATGATGCCCAGGTTTCCCACCAGAGTGACTGTGTAGATGGTCAAGAACATGAGGAAGAGGGGTGCCTGGAGGTGTGGGTACTCCGAGAAACCCAGGAGGATAAATAGAGTCACAGAGCTCTGATTTCCCTCATCCAGTGCCATGGTTCTTGATTTTAAAAAATAAATAAAGGAGAAGAAAAGAGAATTGAGCAGCGGAACTTGAGAAGGAAGAGTAAAAGGAAGTCAGGACAGGTCAATGCAAGCCAGTGAAGGCAATGGGGTCAGTGCGTACACATGAGTGCTCTGTTTCACTTTGGAGTCTTACTTGACTTTTCAATTATGTGCAATTAGCTGTATCCTTCAGTACTTTAGTTTCCTCATCTGGAAAATAAGAAAAAAAATGGGACTAATCAGTAGTATTAAGTTATATAAATAACCTGTAGATGTATATGATCCTTACAACGTTGAATATCCCAGGATAAAATATAATTATATGAGCACAAAGGAGACATATAGCAAAATTAAAAAAAAAAAAAAAAAA